CCTAATAACACGCTTTGGTTCAGCCAATCAGGGCTTCTTGTTGAAATTGAGTCATCAACTTCTGAGCGTGTCGGAAGAGAGCGTGACAAGGAGAGTCTTTGGTGTTTTTAGCTGCTGTCTTTGGAGCACTTGAATCTGAAGGATTACTGCTGTAGATGTATGAGGAATGATTTTACTCCAGACCTACCGCTGTGCTTTGGATCTGGCTCACAGTTATCAGACAGATGAATGCGTTGCAGATCGAATTCTTCGTCGTGTCCAACATGTAGGAGTGAAACGTGTTGCACGAAAAACACGTCTCGAATGATCAATCTGTTTTTTCTCCCCCAGTGGTTGCAGGATGAACACGGCCGTTGGTTTTGAGCTGTAAAATGAACGCAGGGGGTGGAAGTTTTGGCTGGAACCCAGTCGACAAACTTTCCCACCCAACTTTCCCAGAAGCTGCTTTGTCTGGCGCAGATGCCACCAGATCTGAGATAGTAAAAGCGCCAGTCGAAGCAGAACACTCCCAGTGAAAACAGACGTACAGTGAGCGCAGCCACGCACACGTGCTGCTTTGGCCATCGGGCCTGATCCCGGCCATCCGCAGACTGTCCCCACCTTGACAACCCCTCCTTCTTTTCCACCCCTTTTCCCCTCCCTCCTCTCTCTCTCTCTCTCTCTCTCTCTCTCTCTCCCCCGCTGTGAGTCTCCTCGGGCACATGAATGGAGGGCTTTATTCCCGGGAGAACTGGTGGGAAGAACGAGCGAACGAGGAACAGGGATACGAGGGGGTGAATGGGGTTGGGAGGGTAGGAGTGGGGGGGGGGTTCTGTGAGAGTGGCCACAAGATCAACACATTGCCACAGCTCCTCTTTTCTTCTCCATCGTTTTTTTCCCTCCTTTTCTCTACCCCCATCCTCGCCTCCCCCGCCTCTCCCTGCCCGGTTTTAAGTGCTGTGGGTACAAAGCCCTGTTAGTATTCATGGTGTTTGTTTGCAGAGGAGCTCTGTGTGTGTGTGTGTGTGTGTGTGTGTGTGTGTGTGTGTGTG